ACACACACACACACACACACACACACACACACATATATGTGAAATTGGAAATATATTTAGTTTCAACTTTCATATAATTTAAAAATGAATTTCAGTGTAGGTTTCCAGTCTTACAGTAGCCTACATCTAGACTAAATGCAAATGTGGATGGAACTTGATTCATATTGATGTAATTGTGAATAATTATTTGTACATGTTGTAATGTATTTTATGTACTGTAATTTTTTTAAGTAAAGTATGTTAATGTATTTTCATGGATCGCAATATATGGAGGGGGGGATATAGTTACTTCATTTAACAATATTTGTTTATAACTATACTAGCAAATAACTATACTAGCATAAGTATTTTAGCAAATATATTTTTGGTCATTTTTTGTAGCTATATTTTGATTTAGAAAATGTATTTTTTTGGCCGAATGGGAATTTAAGCAAATGAAGTACAAACAGAGAGATTTAAATCAAATCAATTCTTCAACTCTTTAACTTCTTTGCTTCCCCCCCCCCCGCCCGCCTTTCTATTTTGCCGTTTACGCTGGTTACATTTGAACTACAAATCCCAGAATGCAGCGGCGATGTTTTCCGGACTCGGCCTCCACTGGGGAAGCAGCATGACGTCATTGTCAAAAACCCCGAGGAAACTCTGGATCATTGTGCAACACCGGAGCCCAAAATCTGCCGAGGTTGCTCTTATCGCTTAGATTAAAAGCCTGAAGAAAGACTGAATGCATTCGGAATAATAGAAGCAGTGGGGTGAATCCCCTGCATTTGGTAAGTGTACAGATGATTTAATGTGACCTTTAATGTGTAGAGCATCCTGCTAGCTAATGGAGAACACTGTGCCTGCTGGTTTTATTAAATCATAAAATAAAATGTGCAGTTGTCACTATTTATAAAGGGTCTAAATATAAAGGGAAAGAATTAGGCCACATCTGTGTCTTTTCTATCTTTTGCTCTGCTCAGAGATATTGCATATCAGATTTCAGTTTTCTGCTATCAGATATGTTTTCATCTATACCCAGTAGGGATCAATAAAGTATTGTTTTTTTTTTCTGTTCTGTTATTTAATATCCTTATTATTCCCATATAGCACATATTACAGTCATAACATTTAATATTTAAGGAACAGTGAGGTTATATTTCATCTGTTTTCAACATGTTGATTTCTGGATGAAAATGAAATGCAGTTTAGAAGGTTTGTTATTCATCCTATGAGAGTAAAAAGTTATGTTCATGTTGTTGCAATATGTGGTAATGTGAGGGTTAACCAGCATAAAAAGTAAATTAAACAATGCAAATTAAATGGCGATAAATTGTGCAAAACGATCAAATATAATTGTGACTCTGAGCACGACCTCGACTAATAATTGTCTTTACTGTTATTTTTTAATAAATATTAATTACATACAAAATGAATGTGAGATAAAATATATTTGCAGTAGTGAATAACAACAACAATAATAGATAATTAAATTAATATAATTATTATTTTTTTTATATTACAAAACGAATGCGAGAGAAAATGATTTTTGCCGTGGCGATTACGTGGTTGTGTAACGTTGGAATGTTTATTCATGCAGCTAATTCAGTCAACTGTTTATTGAATCAAAAATGTATTTTAAAAGGTCTGTTTGTGCTCAACTTGCAATTTTCAGTTGTATCTCTTTTCAATTTTGTATGCTTACATCCACCATAATTCTTAATTAGCTGTTGAAAGTGTGTTTGCGTGTATGCATGTGTGTTGACAGGCCTCTGGGAGTTGTTCTTTATTCCCTGTGTCTTCTTTATTGCGGTCCTCACAGCATCCTGCCATAGGCCTTGGCAACAGCAGCGTTCGAGCACATGCATAGCAGCTTCTCCTATAGCAACACTTCAGAAAGAAACACTGCTAATGTGTGTAGTGAAATACAGAGGCAGATGCACTGTTGATCTAATAAATTAAAGAATGGCCAGCAAAAAATGGTCCCTAGAGACATCAGGCGTAGTTTATTCCCTCGTTTGTTCTCAGTAATGCATCACTGGTGTCATTGAAATGTTTGTTCTGTAAGGGCTGCTGCAGCTCTTTTACTTCAAACAGTGTTTTATCAGAGGGATGTTGCTCAGCCATTGTAGTTCTTAACACCCACATATTATCCGCCTGTCTCTCTCTCTCTCTCTCTCTCTTCATTCATGTTCCCTCAGCTGAGCGTGAGGATGGAGGATTATGATTACTTATTCAAAATTGTGCTGATAGGAAATGCAGGAGTGGGCAAAACCTGCCTCGTCCGACGCTTCACGCAGGTGTGTGGAATAACTCATTGCATTACCTATAATAATGCAACAACACTAGAGGTTTGCAATGCGTCCGTGTTTTTATAGAATTTGCGGTCACTGATAATTATAATTTTGTAATGCTCGTTTCATTTAAACTTCTGCATCTTGCATTTCCTAGGGGCTGTTCCCTCCTGGACAAGGTGCCACCATTGGAGTTGATTTCATGATTAAAACTGTGGAAATAAAAGGAGTGAAAGTGAAGGTGGGTAAGCCTCTTTAGTTTTTAGGTAACTGTGGAAGTTTGATTGGAATATTGTGGTTATTGCATATGCATGCGTGCATACATAAATAAATAGTGACTTGAAGTACTTTATTTTTTTATTTATAGTTTTCATTTTATTTGACTTAATTTGTAGTTTTCAGTGTATATTTTATATTAAGTTATTTCTGTCGTTTAAAAAAAAAAAAAAAATGTTTTAATATGGAAGTCACGCCTCACTAGTCGCACTGGGTCAAAATTGCATTGCTCACATTATAATCACATTAAAATCACATTATAATATTACTTTCAGAAATGATTTGAAATATTGGTAAATAAAACAACATTGTGTTTTAGTTCTGCTCACTCCAAAGCAAATCCTTTCAATTTAACACTATTCAGAACAGAACAGGAATGGAACAGATATGTATAAAACAAGTTATGACATTCATTATAAACAACATTTATTATAAGTGTCAAACCTAAACTAATTTATTTAAAGCGAAACTGAAACAGCCGGGCACTACCGGTGTGGACAATGCGCTATACCAGGGGTGGCGAACGTCAGTCCTGGAGAGCCGCAGCCCTGCAGAGTTTTGCTTCAACCCTAATCAAACACACCTGAACAAGCTAATCAAGGTCTGAAGGGTTATTAGGAAGCTACAGGCAGGTGAGTTTTAATTAGGGTTGGAGCTGAACTCTGCAGGGCTCTCCAGGACCGGAGTTTGCCACCACTGCACTATACAATTAAACTTGCATACTTTTTTGCACATTTTGTGTGCTTGACATGCATTGTATTATATTTTAAAGGGGTCCTATTATGCTCTTTTACAGAGTCTTGATTTTGTTTTGGGGGTGTACTAGAACAGGCTCTCATACTAGGTTGTTCGAAAAACATTATTTTTCACATATTTTACATTATTACAACACCTCTCTCCCCAGTCTGGCATGAACGGCTCGAATAGTTCCTGTATCAAATGAAGACCCGCCTTCTAAAATACGAAATGTGCTGTGATTGGTTAGCTGGGCCAGTGTGTGTTGTGATTGGTCAAATCAATCAAATCAATTTGAGCGCGATTTAAACCCTGATGATTGTAACCACTCTTAAGTTCGTCTGCCTTGGGAAAGCTAGCGTGTCTCCGACATAGTGATAACACTCGCTGCCTTCTCTAGTGCAGCTCGACCAGGTCTCGTCCCATTCGTCGATATTTGTGATATCACAAATCCCGGAAAATATGCGTTGTAGTCCAAACGAGTCGTTCGTTGTAGTTTTTGAAAAGTGATTTCTGTTAAATAAAATATCTCCCTTTGAAGTGCACTTTGAGCTTTGTAACTTTGCAGATCTTTTTTATGCTCAAACAGCAGCATTACAGACTAACTAAAGTTGAAAAAGTGAAAATAGGACCCCTTCAAGTCACTTTGGAATATAAGTAGATGCATTATTCAGATGATAAAAATAATGCTACTTATATTCAGGACAATATGTGTTATATATCTTTTTTAACAGTATAAATGTGAATAATCTTGGCCTCGAAATTTAGTAAGCATCAATTTATAAATAATGGGCTTTTCCACTGCATGGTACGGCACGGTACGGTTCACTTTTGGGGGGGGGTTTCCACTGGGTACTGTACCTGGTACTTTTTTTAGTACCACCTCGGTTGAGGTTCCAAGTGAACCGATTAGACTGTATAAAAACAGGACCATACCGTTACCAAAACGTGACGTGTAAACTCTGCTGATCACTGATTGGCCGGAGAGAATCGTCACTACCTTGAAGAAAACATATATGAACTTACGACAGAGACACAACAGAACCGCTAGATTTAAAGGGTTAGTTCACCCAAAAATGAAAATTCTGTCATTAATTACTCACCCTTGTGTTGTTCGAAACCCGTAAGACGTTCATCTTCGGAACACAATTTAAGATATTTTTGATGAAATATGAGGGCTCTCTGACCCTCCCATAGACAGCAAGGTAACTACCATGTTCAAGGTCCAGAAAAGTACCAAGATGATCGACAAAGTAGTCCGTGTGATATCAGTGGTTCAACTGTAAAGTTACGAAGCTACGACGTCATCACGCCTGATCTGGGTCAGCACCGCCACACGCTCGCGTCATGATACTGTTGTGAACGCGCGCCCAAAGTGACGCAGTAGAGACGAAAATGTGGAATAAAGTCGCTATTTTTGTTTTCTTTGCGCAAAAAAGTATTCTCATAGCTTCGTAACTTTATAGTTGAACCACTGATGTCACACGGACTACTTTGTCGATCATCTTGGTACTTTTCTGGACCTTGAACATGGTAGTTACCTTGCTGTCTATGGGAGGGTCAGAGAGCCCTCAGATTTCATCAAAAATATCTTAAATTGTGTTCCGAAGATGAACGAAGGTCTTATGGGTTTGGAACAACACGAGGGTGAGTAATTAATGACAGAATTTTTGGGTGAACTAACCGTTTAAGCCAGCGAAGGATAGAACGCTTGATCGTCATTTTGAACGGAAAGTCATATACACCTAGGATGCCTTGAGGGTGAGTAATTCATGGGCTAATTTTCATTTTTTGGGTGAACTAACCCTTGTTAACCTTTGATATTATAGCCATAATATATGGCTTATCATCTATCTATCTATCTTGATCTATTGATCTGTCTGACTGCCAGGTTGGTCAGTTGGTCACAATGCACTCTGTAAACCAATGCAGGAAATTGTCCATGAACATTAGTTTAATATGTTTTTGGAGCTGTTTGTCACTGAACAAACTAACTGGCTTACATTAAACCTTCTAGCTGTCAACACATATTTGACGTCCTTGCAACCAGAGCGTTTTAGCCCTTTTCACGGCTGTTATTGTTTGCAGGGAATAAGATAGACCTGGCCGATAAGCGAGAAGTTCATCGGCAGAGAGCAGAGGAGTTTGCGGAGGCGCAGAGCATGCTTTATCTGGAGACCTCTGCCAAAGAATCGGACAACGTGGAGAAGCTCTTTCTGGATCTGGCCTGCGAACTGATCCGAGAGGCCAAGCAAAACACGTTGGACAACAACGACTCCACTCCCATGCCTGGAGAAGGGAAAAACATCAATTACTTGAGTTGCTGCAGCATAAACTAGTAGGCTTGGCCACTCTGTCTGGCTGAGAGGGCAACATGGATTGCATACAAAGTGGTTGTATTGTTGGGAACCACTACGTAGTTGCAGTGGTTACTGTTTTCCACTGCTGTTGAAGTCTACTTCTTTTACCCTTTTTAAATCCCTGGGTATTTTAAAACATTTGGGAAAAACACGATATCAAGATGACGCTGCTTTTAAAGGTGGGTCCGAAGCTCCTAGATGCTTTTGGTGAGAAAAAAGGGCCTTGTTACACAAATATTCTTGCTGATAGATCAGACAATGAGATTTTCTATACTTCTGTACAATGCAGCAGTTGGGATTTCCCTTCTGACTTGAGAGCCAATGTATTTGTCGATTTGAAAAAACGAGAATGCAGGTTTTCATCAGCAGTCTCAGCCACTTTGAAGGACTAGTTCATCCAAAAATAAGCATTCTGTCATTATTTACTCACCCTCATGTTGTTCCAAACCCATTTGACTGACTTTTTCTGTGGAACACAAAAGAAGATGTTTTGAAGAATGCTCACAAAGCTCTTTTCCAACAGAAAATATACAGTGACCAAAGCAGTCCATGTGACTTGTGAGTTATATTCCAAGTCTTCTGAAGCCATATGATGCTTACGGGTTTGGAATGACATGAGGGTGAGTAAAGGATGACGGTTTTTATTTTAGGGTGAACTGATTCTTTAAGAACCATTGCCACAAAATTCGTCTGTTGGTGTGCACATTTATTATTCGCACAAAATGCACTTCTTGTTGATTGCTTGCGAGATTGTTTGAGGTTGCTTATGCATGCATTTTTTTAAATGAAGAAGTCAATAATGCAAACAGATAGCCAGCTCCCTTAAATAATCTGCTACAGAAAGACGTGAAGTAAAACCGCCATTTGAAATCCTCATTTATCAGGTAGTCAGTTTATAAGAATATAAACTCCCCTTAATGCTTGCATGGAAGTTTGGCTTTGAAGGCCATGTCATTTTGAGAAGTCATAGCAAAAACCCAATGTGCCTCTGCCATTTGCATTGTCATACATTACATAGCCCTGGGGAATCACATGGAGCACATGTTTGGGTCATATTTCACCCCAAAATATCACTCAAACCGGGTCGATATATTGATCTGGAAGTTTTACTTTTGTTAGTTTCAAGGATAAATCTCAGTAGATTCTCAGTATTGTAATACAGTAATGGGAATAATACTGTCCAGATGCAATTGTTTTTTTTAAATGATTTTTATTATTTTCACAGTACATGTATACATACTTTACATACCTTTTTTTTTTGCATTATGTTTAGGATTGAGATTAGTTGCATTACAGTAATAGGAACATTATTGTTCATAAAATAAGCTCCCATTTTCTTTTCAAAAAAGTTATTTTTTTTTTTTTCAAATTCACTGCTGTTCAAAAGTTTGGGGTCATTTTTTTTAAAAGAAATGAATACTTTCATTCAGCAAGGATGCATTAAATGAATCAAAATTGACAATTATTATGAAAGACATTTATTATGTTACAGATGATTTCTGTTTCAAATAAATGCTGTTCTTATGAACTTTTTATTTATCAAAGAAAAAAAACATCATGCTTTCCACAAAAGTATTAAGCAGCATAACTGTTTTCACCATTGATAATAATTTTTTGAAATATTTCTTTAGCAACAAATCAGCACCTACAATTTATTTCTGAAAGATCATGTGGCACTGAAGACTGGAGTTAAAATATTTCACAATATTACTATTTTTATTGTATTCTTGATCAAATACATGCAGCCTAGGTGAGCATAAGAGACTTCTTTCAAAAAGATTTAAAAAAATCATACTGACCCCAAACTTGTGAATGATGGTCATTCGGTTTAGACAGAGGTTTTTAGTGGCCAAGTTCTAGACATTGTCTTTTAATGTCTTTGCTCATTATACGCTAAAAAGTAAACAATGGGCTTAATGTTATAATGCACTGTCTAAAATGCAAATTTCATTCCATATTGATAGTTTCTTTTTCCAAGGATTACTCCGATTCCTATTTGGAGATATTCAGTCCTTTTAAACATTTATATCTGTTATCAGAACTGAAATATACCAGTATGCTTTGTAGTTCATTTAGTCCAGCTTTGGTATTGTAATAACCGTAGCGATGTTTTAAGCTTTTGGCGCTTGAGAGGTCAAGAGAACTGTGTGTGTGTAGTTTTTGTGTGAATGAGATGTATTTCATAGATGTTTCAGTGAGTTCTTGCACAAATGGTCTTTGTGTTCCAAATGCATCATATTGAGGAAAATATGATTTTTGCGAGTTGTTTAACGGTGTGATACAGTGTGATTCTGATTTCGGTTGGCCTTTGTCTGTTCTGGAACTGTGTTGTGCATTTTAATGACTTTTAAACAGTTGGACCTTGTACCTCCAACCTTGGCTGTGCTGTAAGGTTGTTTGCACCTGTGTCATTACAAAGGAACTGTGAATCTCCTCTTTTATAGACTTTCAGTATTTTACTTGCTGCTACAGAGCCTTTTTTTTTTTTACAAAATTAACATCAATTACAACTGAGGTTTTAGATGCCTTGTGCTTGTTAATATTTGCGATGATCATGATTCAGTTATTTTGTTTTGAGTGTTTTTTTTTACACAACAAAATGTGTTCCCTAAAACACTAAACAATGTTTAACTTGACCAGTTGTTTCAGCTTTTTTGGTTCATGCCAATTACTTTGCAATATAATGCATTTTCCTCATATTTACACATAGCTGCTTATATGATATTAAACCTTTTTATTAACATTTTATTTTAAAGTGATAACCTTTTCTAGTTTTGTATAAACCGTTTTCTTTCTATGTTACATGACGTGCCATGCACAGTATTTTCTCTGTCAGGTATTTTTGTTTTACAGATATATGCCATATTGTAATGTGTTGCATTGTGTACCAATGGGACTCTGTAGAATTATTTCTTTTCTATGTTAAATGCCCTAATTTCCAGTATAGTATATGTATTACTAAGCGCTTACTTTATCTGTATGGACAATGTTATTATGACCATTTCATTATGTGAAGTACAATATTCATCAATTAACAGTAACTAGTGAAGATGAAACGCCATTCTTTGAACCCACTAAATTTGTATCCACAGTAGATAACTGTACATTTATTGTTTTAGTGTGTGCTTTCAATATATAAGTTGTGATGCATTGTGTAATACATTTATCATAATGAGATAAACCCCATGACTGCAGCAATTCAGTATTGCGCCGTTTTCTTTGAGCAATTCTGTAACTTATGTTTTAATTCTCAGCATATAGACTGCAAGTTAATACCTTTCTCCAAATAAACATAGTTATGACACTAACTATATTGTAGAAAATGTAAGATTTCTATGGCCCAGTCTCTTTCTTATGGTGGAGTCATGAACACTGACCTTAACTGAGGCAAGTGAGGCCTGCAGTTCTTTGGATGTTGTTGTGGGGTCTTTTGTGACCTCTTGGATGAGTCGTCGCTGTGCTCTTGGGGTAATTTTGGTCGGCCGGCCACTCCTGGGAAGGTTCTCCACTGTTCCATGTTTTTGCCATTTGTGAATAATGGCTCTCACTGTGGTTCGCTGGAGTCCCAAAGCTTTAGAAATGGCTTTATAACCTTTTCCAGACTGATAGATCTCACTTACTTTCTTTCTCATTTGTTTCTGAATTTCTTTGGATCTCGGCATGATGTCTAGCTTTTGAGGATCTTTTGGTCTACTTCACTTTGTTAGGCAGGTCCTATTTAAGAGATTTCTTGATTGCGAACAGGCGTGGCAGTAATCAGGCCTGGGTGTAGCTAGAGAAATTGAACTCAGGTGTGATAAACCAGTTTTAACAGGGGGGCAAACACTTCTTCACACAGGGCCATGTAGTTTTGGATTTTGTTTTCCCTTAATAATAAAAACCTTCATTTAAAAACTGCATGCTGTGTTTGTGTTATCTTTGACTAATATTTAAATTTGTTTGATGATCTGAAACATTAAAGTGTGACAAACATGCCAAAAAAAATAAGAAATCAGGAAGGGGGCCAACACTTTTTCACACCACTGTATATGTAATACACACACAAATATAATTTATTAGTTAAAAAAAACAATTTAGCTGAGGAAACAATAACCTACTATTGTTTTTATAGATTCTCATCCAAGTAAATAATTGCACATTTGTTGTTTTCGTGTTTTAAAGTTTTGATACAATATGTGTAGTATGTTTATCATTATGACTAATAATATAGCCTATAAGCCTTATTTGTTAATAGATAAATTAATCATATTAATTATAGAAGGATATCATGTACATTTATTATGACTTTACTAAAAATAAATGACAATATTGGTACTATTTTCGTAAGAGGTGAGGAGTAACAAGAAACTACAATACCCATGAGGCATCACGGTGATCACGTTTTTACAATACGGAAGCACGTTGTTTCGTTATATGAAGTTAACAAAACAATCCGTTTATCGACAGAAACGATAGATATAATCCGTTTTGAGTGAGCACAGAGACAGAAAGACACCTTTAATAACTATACGCACATGATGAGCAGATTTAGCAAGCTTACTGCATGATACTTTTCTAAAATGGTCTAAAATTTGAGAAATAAAAAAGACTTTAAAGCTACGGTATTGCATATATATATATATATTGTGAAGTTTTAAAAGTTTTGCGTCATGGAGAAACTACGAGTCATTTGACATCCTTCCTAGTTCCTCGTATGCAAATGATCCATCGCTTCATATTTTCACTTACACTGACTGGATTCACTCATTCAGCCATGAGACTGACCAGCACTGCTTTGCTCTTCCTCCTCCTCATCCTCAGCTGTAATTCACTGGCGCTCAAACCACAGCTCTTAGGCAGACACACAGTCCAAACCTACCCTCATCACACATCTGTCTCATACAAAACTTTCTATTTTGATCAACAGGTAAGTCTCTTGGTTATTTCGTTACTTCTCTTACCTGGCCATTTATTCTTAAGAAATCTACATTTAGCTAAATGCATGTCAAGAAATCCATTTGTTTACATTGATTCGAAGTTTTTCATGGAAATGCAGATTATTTTTGATGCAGTTTTCTGATAGCCAATACACATTCAGCTCATTTAAGCTTTAATACAGTAAAAACGAATTCAAATATTAAAGCAAACAAACAAACCAATTAAAATAATGCATTTTAGTCTGCAACAATAAAACATTATGACTTTTTACTTGTTATTTTGCAAACTTAAGTAAAATGGATGAATATGCATACAATGGTAGACAACAAGAATAATTATAACAATAATTTCTGTTGTTGTAATTGTTATCATTGTCATTATTATTGTTTAGACCATTTTATTTATGAAATTTATTTTCATATGTTTTTTGGTGTGGCTTAAAACAGATGCGCCTAAAATGCTACGTTTCTCACTTGAAAATGTATGACTAAATATTAAGTATTCAGGTAATACTCACTTAAATAAATAAGATGCACTGAATAGTGCAATTTATCAGTGCACTCAATTACAAAAAACAAAACAAAAGTACAGAACAGTAAAAATAGTGGTTAGACTGATTACCTGCAATCTTTCTGTAACCTTGATCTTGTAATCAGAATCTCATGTAACAGCAATTTGTTTGTTTTTAACAGGTCAGCTATTGTCATTTATCACCGCTGTGAACCATTCTCATTCTAGTCAACTTGTGTCAATCAGAAAGTCTTGTGATAGATCACATTGCCAGGCCTTATTTTGCAACCCACAACAGTTTTATCTGGTTGTGGCTGCTCATTAACTTAGAACTGGGCTTCCTTTACGGATTTCCTTTATTTAATGTGTCCATAATCTGTGCTGTTCTGCTCTGTATTGTGTCTGCAGGAAATTTCCTAGTGGCCCCAAAGAATAATAGCAGATCCTTTCGCCCTTCTGGGCTTGGTCCCGTGTGCAGAGGCATATCATTTGATGCTGGCAGTCTGCCCGTTTTTCACTTTATTGAACTGAAAGTGAAATCTTGAAAGTCCCTTCAATTTGCATTTCGTGTGTGTGAGTTCCTGATGGTCTAACATGCACTGACTAAAACACACAATTACATTTTTGTTTCTTTAATATATAATTATTAAAATCATGTTATGATGCCTGGCAGTTGTTTAATAAGTTACATCTCAGAAACATTTCATCTCATTCTCAGCCTGAAGAGTGGCTTAGCAATTAATCTTTTACATGCTGTCTGTGGGAAAAGCTGACGCAGGAAAAGCCCTGCGTCTAGTTTTAGACAAAAACAATCCTGTTAGGCTGTACTCTGAGCCTAATTACGTCTTGACCTGGACACGCCAGAGTGAAGGCAATTGTTTCTCGGTGTCTGTTCAACTCATCCTCTGAGCCGTCAGGAAGATTAGGGCCATTTCCTGGCTTTCTTGCTCCTCATTGTCTTGGTTTTGTCCTTGTCAGCACTTAGTACGCCTTAAACGGTAGCCTTCAGTCGTAGAAGCACAGACGAGGCTGTTAAAATGAGGATCTACAAAGAATATAAGCAGAAACTCTACAGGAAATGTAACATGGGTCTAGAATTTTACATTCCCTCTTTTCTTTGTTTCACATTCCCACTCGAGTCGAGCTGTAGTCTGTCGGTTTTTAATTCTCTTCATTGAGCGGTTGAACAGTTGTCGTTTCAGCATCTGTTGCTGGCTGTGGATGGAGAAATGGAGAGCACTGCTTGACAAGCAACCAAGTGCAAACTGTTTTCAAATTCATTAGACAGTACAAAAAGCATTAATGTGTACAAAATAGGGTGCGATGTTGACAAAAAAAGAAATCTCAGTATTTTGGGGGCTTTTGTCAGTAGTAGTTGAAACACTACCGGTCAAAAGTTTTCTATAAGTCCTTTTTTTTTAAATGTCTCACACAGACTGCGTTTATTTGATCAAAAATACAGTAAAAACAGTACAATTGTGAAATATCATTACAATTTAAAATAGCAGTTTTCTACTTTAATATATTTTAAAATGTAATGTATTCCTGTGTTGACAAGGCTGAATTTTCAGCAGCCATTACTTATGGTCTTTTGCGGTCATACTCATATTTGGGAAAAACAGCACTAGTGTGATGTTGCAAAACTATATGATATATGCAAAAATTAATATAGATGCATTTTTTGACCTCATATATTGAATGGGGTTTTTCAATTTTTCTAATGCAGTCATATAGTTACATTCTAATAGGCTATATAATGTAGTGAATAGGAAATAGAAAATAGGTGGCTCGATCATTTCAGCTTGCAAAAAAAATTTAATTATCGTAGACAATACATACGTTTAGACAATACATTTGCCTACGCAAATATGCGTTTCCCCCAGTGAGCCTTCTCGCACAGACACTGTGCAAAGTCAGGGAGGACGAGGGGCAGGTTCTGCTTGTGGCGCCCTACTGGCCCACTCGGACTTGGTTCCCGGAACTAATGCTTCTCGTGACAGCCCATCCCTGGCGGATCCCTCTGAGGAAGGATCTACTGACTCAGAGACCGGGCACCCTGTGGCACCCGCATCCAGACCTGTCTGGTCCCTGGATGGGATGCGGAGGTTCTAGGTGACCTACCTCAAGAGGTAGTGGCCACCATCACTTCAGCATGAGCACCGTCTATGAGACACGCTTACGCCTTGAAGTGGAACCTGTTCATCGAGTGGTGTTCCTCTCGTTAAGAGGACCCCCGAAGATGTCCGATCAGAGTCATGCTCTCCTTCTTGCAGCAAGGGTTGGAGCGAAGGCTGTCTCCCTCCACCCTTAAAGTTTACGTCGCTGCTATTTCCGCTAATCACGACCCCGTGGATGGGAGAACAGTGGGGAAGCACGACCTGGTCATCAGGTTCCTTAGGGGGGCGAGAAGGTTGAACCCTCCTCTACCTCCCTCTATACCTTCTTGGGACCTGTCTCTGGTGCTCGAAGCACTACAGCGGGTCCCATTTTTGCCTTTGCAGTCAGTTGAGCTAAAGATTATTTAGCAATTTTTTTTATTTCTTCATTAAGAAGACAATTAGTTGCATTGGCCTCCATCAAGAGAGTAAGGGACCTGCACGCATTTTCGGTCGATGAATCATGCCTAGAGTTTGGGCTGGCTGACTCTCAGGTAACCCTGAAGCCCCGGCCCAGCTATGTGCCCAAGGTTCCTACTACTCCCTTCAGGCATCAGGTGGTGAACCTGTAAGCGCTGCCCCCGGAGGAGGCAGACCCAGCCCTAGCTATGCTTTGTCCCGTCCACGCTTTAAGATTGTATGTGGACCGGACACAAAGCTTCAGGAACTCAGAACAGCTCTTTGTTTGTTACGGAGGCCGGCAGAAGGGTAATGCCATCTCCAAGCAGAGGATGGCCTACTGGATTGTGGATGCCATCACTCTGGCTTATCAAGCACAGGATGTGCCCTGCCCGCTCAGTTTGCGAGCTCACTCTACTAGAAGTTTTTCCTCCTCCTGGGCGCTGGCTCGTGGCGCCTCGCTGACAGACATTTGTAGAACTGCGGGCTGGGTGACCCCCAACACGTTCGCTAGGTTCTATAGCCTTCGTGTTGAACCGGTATTCTCCAAGTGTTCTCATCTCAAATGGGTAGAAGCACCAAGAGGCCTCGGTTTAGTGTCAGCTTGCTAAGACCGCTACAGAGAGTCCGTACTGTAGACCCTGCCGAGCTCCTCCATGCCCTCGGCAGCCAGACGTGGCGGAACGACTGGTGCCAGGCCCTCACTCGATGAATCTGTGAGAACCGGTAGAGGGCTGGGTTCCATATGTAGAGACCTAAGCGGATCCCATATTTGTAAAGTCCACAGTATAGCCTCAGAGCCCGTGTTTCCCCGGCAGACTTCTGCCATTTTCCAAGTGAGTTGTAATTAGTGGTCGACCGATATATCCCCTTTGCCGATATTTGGCATTTTTTCATAGGTAAGTTTTCCGATAAGTTTTCCTGTTTGGCCGATGCGTTCGAGGCGGGATTTTTATTTTGACGGCGCTGAGAACGGCAGCGCCTGAACACACAGTGCTCACATTCTCCCTCTTGTTCGCTTTCGTCGTTCTGTCTAATACGGACAGAAATCTGTCTAATAATCAGATAGAATGGTTAAACAAAGGAATTAAAATGTATACAAAAAGTATTATAACGATTGCTTTTATATTATTAGTAATAGAAAGGCAAACATTATAATACTTTCTTGTTTGCCGTCAGCATTCTGCAAATACGCATTTATATCATTTAAGCAATCTTTGAATGACTAATTAACATTTAGTTTCACAAACCTTGCAAACTTAGTTGGATACAGCTGTGAGATCTTGTGAATTGTGCATGTGACCTGCATGATTGCGTGTTCTCTGCGTGATGCTCGGTCTGCGAATGGAATGCGGACAGGAGGAGAGTTCAGCTTCACTGGAGACGCGCAGGATGTGCCCTGCCCGCTCAGTTTGCGAGCTCACTCTACTAGAAGTTTTTCCTCCTCCTGGGCGCTGGCTCGTGGCGCCTCGCTGACAGACATTTGTAGAACTGCGGGCTGGGTGACCCCCAACACGTTCGCTAGGTTCTATAGCCTTCGTGTTGAACCGGTATTCTCCAAGTGTTCTCATCTCAAATGGGTAGAAGCACCAAGAGGCCTCGGTTTAGTGTCAGCTTGCTAAGACCGCTACAGAGAGTCCGTACTGTAGACCCTGCCGAGCTCCTCCATGCCCTCGGCAGCCAGACGTGGCGGAACGACTGGTGCCAGGCCCTCACTCGATGAATCTGTGAGAACCGGTAGAGGGCTGGGTTCCATATGTAGAGACCTAAGCGGATCCCATATTTGTAAAGTCCACAGTATAGCCTCAGAGCCCGTGTTTCCCCGGCAGACTTCTGCCATTTTCCAAGTGAGTTGTAATTAGTGGTCGACCGATATATCCCCTTTGCCGATATTTGGCATTTTTTCATAGGTAAGTTTTCCGAT